GGCGAGATAAACGTTTATTGTCAAAACGCACAATCCCGCTAGCTGAAGGCACCGCAAAATGGTTGTAGCTAGGGAAAAGGTATAGTCGCCAATCGAGGCGTAGCAAAAGCCCTTCAAAGCGGAAAGACAGAAGCCCGCCAATGCGATTCGTCTGGATGACTCAAACACACGTAGTCATCGTGCGAGCAGGCAAGCTTCCTAAGTTGTCTGTGTACAGAATGATAATATATTGTAATAATATTTTACACAGACAAACAGGATAATCTCCAGGTCATTACATAGCCCCTCTCCTAGAAGGGAACCGTGAGTGACCCTTCGAACTACGTGAGGACTGTCCATCGCGGGCCAGGCTTCTGCGAGACCAGGCGGTTAAACCTGATGCAGCTGCTGGGGGAGAATCAGGCGATCGGACCCAAGCGGGCTCCCACCCATGTGCTCCCTTAAGGTGCTGATAAAAAGGGGGAGAATGTTCGTAGCGTACGATCACTTGTGTGTGACCAGGAGTGAGTGTTCTCCGGTTCGCAACATGAAAAGAAAGAAAGAAACGAAGTCAGGCACACAGAAGCGGCGAATGTAACGGACGGAAAAAGCACTTACCGAATAGGCAGCAAAAATTAAGGAAACAACTCTTTTTATCGGTTTTTAAACCCTTTTCTCCGCTTTTTCTAGTTTTCAAAACCTTTTGTGATGTTTTTGGGTTTTTAAAACATTTTGTGCGCTTTCGGGGGATACTGATGCGAAGGAATCCTGCCGGATTCGGCCATGATTGATATCTAGCTGCGATATAGCGCGGCCCATCCTCCACTGTCTTGCATGTTATGTATGTGAAGACGACTGGGCTAGCCCCCAGAGCAATGACTTCCTTTACAACCCGCCACCAATCGAGGTGGCACGTAATTAGTACTCGACTTAGCAACTTACATGCCACCTCGATTGTGGGCGGCGTGCAAAGGAAGTCGTAGCTTGGGGGGCAGCCCTGTCCTCTGCAGGTTCACAACATGCATGACAGTGGAGGATGGGCCGCACTATATCGCAGTTAGATATCAGTTGTGGCGGTCCGCCGCCATCACTCATGGCTCAGTGACATAAATCGCTGACTCGCAAAAGTAAGGCCATGGGTTCGAATCCTGTAAGATTCGGCAGGTGCGCGCTACTGGTGAGTCCCAATAGGATGAAACGGCCGCCTAGCGCTTTCTTGGATGTGTGGTGGCTGTCCGCCTGTGTATAACTGCGAAGAACCTACACAAAACCTAATAAATCCCCATACTACTTACAAACATGTGCACTTGTCTGAATGGAGTCTCATTGCCTTCCGTGGTTTAAGCTAACGATGATTATGGAGGTGTTGGTTCCCCCCTTCAGGTTTGAACATACCGTTTTAGTTACGGGTCGATCTGCAATCTTTCGGTCCTTTGACGGATGTGCTCCGACCTGCGGTGAGGACCAGTTTTTATCGTCAGCTGTGCGACTTCCATAGGTCCCAGTTGTTGTGCAGCGATTCCGAAAGTATCCAATAGTACGTGCAGCGGTATCCGTGTACCCGACTTGGATTGTTCATTGAGCGTTCCGCGTCGCGGTCGAAGTTGGTTTTAGTGGTGAACCCAAGTGTCGTCTCCCACATCGATATCATGTAACATACTACCATGGTGGGCCGTCACTGTTGCTTTGATCCAGCGTGGATGACCTGTTCGATAACCGAGAGCGTATACCGGAGCTCCAACGAGGAATTTATTGTGTTTGGTGCATATAGTAGACTGACTTTGTGGATTTTCGGTTGAGATGAGCGCTTCATTAGTGGTGCAGAGCTTGCGACCCATCAATGCTTTAACCGGAGACTGGCATCCTGGAGCGATTGGATTTGGTGTGGACCGATAAGTGAGAAGGAACGCTTGAAGGCATTCATCTGCGGTCCCCTCCCCACGAGATTTCAAGAGCCATCCCAGGTTTGACCCCCTTGTGCGTCGTAGGATTGCAGTAGCCTTCACGGTGCCCCACCCTGCCACAACGCTAGCATCGGTACTGGCGGAAGTTGCAGTCTCGGTGGAAGTGCCAGGCACCGCAGAATCGGCACGGATAGGGTGGGGACTTCGCTCTGTCTGGTTGGGTAGACCGCCCAGAAGATTGCGACATTGGTGCTGCGACTGCCTAGACCAACACAGGTGCGTGAAAATTCTGGGTCATCGCAGAGTCATGTGTTAGAATGATCAGCATTTGACACTCCTCGACCAAGTTCTGGAGTGTGATCATGTTGTTCTGCTGCAAGTTGGAAAGAAGGCGCGTTCGGATGTCGGCATCGTGGCCGGATTAGAGGCCAGAAATGAAAACCTGGCACTTGAATTGATCTTCTGTGAGGGAGCCAAGTTGGAATAGCTCGCATTCACGCTTGTCCACATATGTGAAGAAATCATCGGCATCACCCTTGGTAAGTTGCAGACATTGGAACCGGATGTTGAACAGCGAGGACTGTTGGCCAAAAATCTGCAACAACGTGCGGACCGTCTCAACAAAGGTAAGGTCGCGGGGTTTCTATGGCAAAATGAAATTGGTATACCGTTGGTGCTCGACCGTGCACAGTTTGCGCAGAAGCAACCAGACCTTCCACGCGTCATCCTGGCAAGCCAGGTTGACGGTGGATAGGTCCTCGTACCGCTTATATCAATAATCGAAGGTGACATAAGCGCCAAGACCGGACAGGAACTCCGAGATACTGCCAACGATATTGTCAACCGATTGAGAGTTTCCAGAGGAACCTGACTAAATGGAAAAATTAGAAAGTTTTTCAAAGACAGACACCAAATTGTGCTGTTGTTGAAACAGCAACTTAAAACCATTATACGTTATCTCCATGGTTCGAAGCAACCCGTCGCCACTTTGTTATAACTGTCTCTTGGTTACGTCATGCTTTGCCGATCTGGTATCAACTCTCATAGTATTTCAAACGAATGAGGCTTGGAACTATTTCATGCACGACAAAGTAACCGACAATATTCGAGGTTGTACGGTCCGTGAAACTTAGGCGCAACACGGTTACTACGCGCGAATTGCACGGACTCCTAGACAGAACGCGATTTCACACGCAGCTACCCAAACCTCTAGGAACAAGACAACAAACAGGCCTTTCGCGTAGGTACTTTTAGCAGCCAGGCTCAAGGCTATTACAGCGCAGTCCGTTTCCGTTTTACTTCGATGGCGCCAATGATTTGCGTAAGCAAACCCTAAAAGCAACTGAATTAGTACTATACATATACGCCAACGGAACATAATGAAAAGTGGATGTTGGTAGATGCGAAGGCCGGACTGGTAAACTGAATGTTTTCTGAGGTACAAAGGCCAATCGAAACGTGAATGCGTTACGAGTTGGAAGGCTGATCGAAACATGTGCACTTGTCTGAATCGAGTCTCATTGCTTTACGTCGTTTAAGCTAATGATCTTTATGGGAATGTTGGGTCCTATAAATGTCAGACAAGAATATTCTTTGCGAAAATCATGCTGAAATGGGCTGAAAATGTCAAAAGGCCTGAAATACTTTTCGAGGGCATCCCTCACCAGATTTACTTGCAACTTAATCAGTTCGCTGTTCAAACTAATAGGTATGCAATTTACAGGTGTCTGTCACCCTTTTTAAGGAGGGGACAGTCAGTAAGTAACGCGCAGCTAGCAAGACTTTTCGAACCGGCGCGTTACTGACTCAAACTTTATTTGCCAGTTCATATAGCAACTACGGATGAATGGCATCGATGCCAGCGGCTTTGGTAGGGTTTAGCTCTAGCAGTAGTGAAAGCACTTTGGCCTCTGATACGGAGATATCAATCAATAAAGTGTTAGCCGGGACTTACTCCCCTAGATCGATAGCTGGTAAAGGTGACACTAGGTTAAATGTCCCCGCATACTTTGCTCCGAGAAGACAGGCCTTGTCGTAAGCAGTGTGCGCGGCAACCCCACTGGGTCTGTGCAACACCGGGATCGATGCATTAGCACGCCCTCGTCTTCTGATATAGGCGAAAAACCGTTGGGGGTTGGTCGAAGCCGTGTTTGCTAATTGCATTTCATAACGATTTCGAGCGTCCTTTAGATACTGCTTACCTGCGTTCTGTGCTGTTCGATGACATCGTAAGGCACTGTCTGATTGAGTCGCAATGTAATTCCACCAACACTTGGACCGTCTGTTCAACAGTTGACGCGCAGTTAAATCAAAACGGGGTGGGCTGGCATTTTCTTTCTTCGCAACTGAAAGCAGAATGTAGGGAAAGAACATCACAGAAAGGAATGAATTTGACCTATCCCAAGCCGTCTGGATGTTGTCTGCCGTCAAAATGGTGCAGGGTGACAGGATAGCACTGGATCACATTGCATCGAAATCAGCAAGCCAGATGTTCGGACCCATAGACGCGCGTTTCTCGGGTTGTACTAAGAGCACAGTCGAATGAGACGCAGGCGTGGTCACTGGCTCCGAGTGGCTGACCGTAAACGATGTTACTTACGAGGTCGATTGACATAGCGAAAATAAAAGCGAGAATTGTTGGAGATTGCCCCTCTATGAACCGTGCGGGCTGATTTAAAGACTGATGTAGGGGGCTTGCAACATCAGTTCCACTAGTTCGGCAACTAATCCTACTGTCGCAGTCTCGCAAGAGAGGTTGTGCCAGTCTATCACCGGAAAGTCGGCTATCACTAGGCACCGATTAGTGGATTGATCGCGAATGAAATCAATAAAAACTCTAGAAGTGATGCCAAGGCTTCTATACACTAACACAATTTTAAACTGTGAAGACAAGGTGCACACTTCAACCGAAAGAGCTTCAACAGTCCTATCAGTTGAGTGAAACTATATGTTTTGGAAACAGTTGAACAGGCGTTTAGGTAGAGCGCGACGGTCGCAGGGACGATCGGATCTCAGTAGTGCGTAGCCAGATAGGAGTATTTCACTGTCCATGACCTCCAAAGACAGCCAAGTTTCAGTGAAAGCGATGACATCTGCATAACAGAGGTCCACAAGAACGCCAACTTTGCACATCTTGTTACGCAGGCTACTCACGTTAGTGAGCACTAAATGAAGGATTTCGGTATGGTGCGTCCAGGATCGTGCACCACTAGGATGGTCTCTGGCATGGCAAAAATGGACCGTCGGCGCGCCGTCCGAAAAACCCACCAACCGCAGACCACTTTCACCAGCGGTGTGACTTGACTTAAGGTCTTGGATAGCTGCCTTCAGTTTCACCCCATCCGCTAGAGGAAGATCCGGCTGTATGCTGACTCCAGAACCTTTTAATTTAAAAGCAAATCGCATAAGCGCTTGGCGCTCCTCTAGTGTGGAAAGAATCGCCCGTAGAAGGTGAGGTCTAGGGTTGAGGCTACTGAGTGGCACGTCTCCAAGTCGAGTTAGTTTACGCACGGTCACTCCAGGGAATCCAGGCGGGAGGTTAGTGACGCAAATTTTAAACCATTAGACATCACGTGACGTTCTTTCCTTGGGATATGCGGAAGAAGATTCAATGACATTTCCAAACATTACGCTACTGTTCTTATACAACACACCGACGTGGGATGTTTACAGCGCGTGTTACAGAAACATGAGATGGAGACACATGAGTCTGTGTAGAATTGGTGGCTGTTCAAGAAGGAGCTTGCGGAAGGACTACAGGACTCAGTTCCGGTGGTGTTATGTTCAAGGGACTTGCCGTACACGCTGCGTCCCCTTTGCTTGCACTTTAGGCGAGAGTACTGCCTTCTTAGTCTTTCTTCGTCTACTTTTCACAGGTACAGGAGCCTGTGAATCGCCCTTATTATGAACGGAGTCAAAAACACCGTCCGACGGGTCGTCATTAACAGAAGACGTGCTCACAAGAAGAGGTGAAATCGTTAAGCTGCTCGCATCCAAAGAGTTGCACAAACCTTCAATACTCCGCATGACAGGTACACCAGAATTTCCAAAACTGGCTACGAATGCATTTACTTCGCGGTCTGTCGGGCAACAAGGTACGCTTTCCACACTTTCTAACCTGGACACCAGCGCCGAAAATTTTACATCCGAAAGCGGACCACGCTGAGTATTGTACTTGCAACAAGTAGGACAACTAAAGAGAAAACTCTCACTGCTCGCTATAACACTATGATGTGCTGAGCTCAAACCAATGCATCTTCCTTAAACCCAACGACTGCATATATCACATTGCATTCCGCCAATCGAGTCCGTCACCAGTTCTGAGCACTTAAGCGTACGGCATTTTATCAGCAGGTGGTAGACTTGGTGACGACTTAGGACAGACCACTGTAGACATTACAAATGGAAAAGTAAGTTAACGGAAAGTAAAAGACGTAGACCGGTTTGCAAAAGCTCACTAAGCAAGAAACGAGAGGTTCGATCGGATCTTACCAGACGTGATTCCTACGTAGGAATCCACAGGGTAAGAAGATGAAGCACCGTTCCCTAGAGATACAGCAGCGAGGCCAATGAGTAGGGAAATGTTCCACAGCAAAAACAACGTGAGTGAGAAAATCGAGCAGGACGAGAAGTCCGTATGACAAAGATTAGGGGTTATTCGGGGATTGCGAAACCTCTAGACGGGTAACAAGCCTCGCGATACTTGGCAGGCAACATGAGATTGATCCGATATAAGCGGGTGAGAATCAATTTAGATAGTACTGAGCTGATGAAATATCGATAAGATCCGAATTGTTTGGAGCGGCGCGGCGAGCCAAGGCTTCAGATTCCGAAAACAATAGGCAGTTAATCGCAAACAAGCAGCGAGAAGTCCGAAGATGACAGATTCCAAATCACAAAGAATGACAATGTCAAATTTTCTGATTAGTGTTATTCAACACTATTTCCACGAAAGCTTACGTGAGAAATGCCCGAACAGTGAAACACGACAAGCAAGCCGTGTACAGATCCACGCCCAAATAATGGTTTCCGAGCACGAGGACTTGCAAATCCTTTTAGATCACAAGAGAAACTGACAAAGTCTCTTGTCCTTAGAAGTGTTATTCAAACAATGCTCTACACAAGCCTTTCGGAAGGAAAAGCTCGGACGAAGGAAGAGGACAAGAACGACTGAGAAGCGCGCCGGACAATTGTGCCAACGGTAACCACAAGTAAGTTCACAGCGCACTTCCCAGAACAACATAATGTCATTATTTCCAGCTGAAAACGTTCAGGATCAGCCTTGAATATGCGGCGAAACGACGGACCGCCGCATTTAGGGGCGACAAACAAATAGGTTCAGTTCAGTTCAGATGGGGACTGGAACGATAGGAGAATCCCGTGAGTGTTCCATCTTGAGTGGATCGTTGAGCCAGGAATTGATGAAGTGCTCAGTTATTGATGGATCTAAAACGGAAACACCCGTATCGCACCCTGGCCAACCAGTTAATGCCCACGTTTCCTGCCCTAGCAGTCCCTGCTTTGGCAGTCACGTGAAATAAGCAAAGGATAGGAAGAGAAATCGAAGGTACAGAATAGGGAAGTGCACTTAAATAAGAAAATAATACCAATACGTGAAGAAAAGTAGAGAAAAGAAAATCGAAGTACGAAGATGCGAGTTACTCAGGAAAATGGAAAGGTTTCGTGTTGCCACCCAAGAGCGTCAAGTTGCCACTCAAACCCCTTAACCGTAGATTCCCTGATAACACTTTCCGGAAGCATGTTCCAGCGGTCGATAACTCGGCGTGACAGCCGGATTTCCGCCCTAATCCGATCGGACCGCGGTTTGTCCAGCTTCAACGAATGACCGCGTAGAACAGACAATCTAGCGGGACTGAATAGCCAAGATAAATCTGGACCAACCTTCCCAGTTAAGATACGGTAGGTTAGGATTAGGTCTCCTCTAAGCCTTCGGTAGTGCATAGAATGCATTCCCAAACTAAGTAGACGCTCGGGGTACGTCCGTCCCCTTAATCCCTCGACTAACCTAGTACCCACTCGTAAAACCCTCTCCAGCTCCATTTTGTCCCGGACGAGGCAGGGCGGACAAGACTGGACGCAATATTCCAGATGAGGGCGAACGAAAGCCGAGAACAGCCTCGTAAAGATGCCGCCCGTCAAGACTCCGAAAGAACGTCGGATTAACCACAACATGCGGAAACCTCTGCTTGCGGCCTTCTTCCAGTTGTCGCCGGAGTGTAAAGCCGAAGAGTGTACGACGCCTAGGTCAAGCTGGCTAGATACACGGGGGAGTTCGACCCCACCGACCAAGTACTTCGCAGGAGGACAACCTCCTCCAATTCGAAGAACGGAGCACTTTGCCTGATTTATGGGCAGTAACCATAAAGTAGACCAGTCCCAAAGCTTATCCAATGCTCGCTGAATAGCTTCGGAACCCCCAGGAACATCAACAATGTTCCACAGCTTCAGGTCATCAGCAAATAGCAGCGATGGTACCTCAAGCTCCGTGGGTAGGTCATTCACATAGATAGAGAACAACAGCGGTCCAAGGACCGAGCCCTGCGGCACGCCGCTGAGGACAGATTGCCTAAATGATAGACCCCGGCCTACCCGTACACATTGTTCTCTACCCTCCAAGAAGGCAGTCACCCAATGAAGGGCGCGGCCAGATACCCCGTAGGAGGACAACTTTTGCGCGAGCCTCAAATGGGGTACCTTGTCAAATGCCTTCGAAAAGTCGACGAAAAGCACGTCCAGTGTGTGACCGTTATCCACTGCATCCGCCCAATTTTCGCGAGCTACCAACAGATTCATCAGACACGAAAATCCCTTCCGGAATCCGTGTTGTACATTGCTAAATAGATTAAATCTACTTAGATGACTCTCCAATGAATCTCTCACCAGTTTCTCGAGGAGTTTGACTACTACGCTCGTCAGACTAACTGGCCTGTGTTACTTTGGTACAGACTGCCCGTTGGACACACTGAGATTAATGGTTAGAATTTTCATAAACAGTAATGTAATATAGCTGACATGTACATGGTAAATTGAACAGTAAACGCTTAACTTGTACCTTTAAAAATGCAACACATTTTCAACTGCGGATAACGACGTGCGTTTGGATGCTCCGTTACTCTTTGGATCTTTTAGCAAAGGAGGTGTTCGAACTTCATTTACCTGGAGATTCGACTGCTAAATATTTGGAATTTGTCAAGCACAAGGCATGATGGCGTCCAAATGTTTGGATTGTGGTAAAGGCGTTACCGCAAGATCGAAGGCTGTGCAATGCTCTCTCTGTGATGGGTGGCTGCACATTGCCTGCTGCGACATCAGTCCAGATCTTTATGACTACAGAAGACCACCTCCTCAGCCATCAGTTTCCATTGTGACTCTTGTCGAACTGTATTGAGCGATAGACGGGTGGTGAACTTAGTCCACGCACTTAGCCCACGATCCATTCCTATAGTACACAAGCACGGAA